TTTTTTGTGAGGAATTTGTGTGTGTGTGTGTGTGTGCGGCGGAGCGCGGCAGTGACAGGGACGTTCTTGCCACTGTGTCCAACAGGCCAGGCATCTCGATTTTATGTCCACCATAAACGTGAGACACCTAGCCTGTTGGACACAGTGGTGGCGGGGGGAGGAATGGACTGGGTGGGCTTGCTGGCTGGGGAGGGAGGAATCATGGCCACTCAGGCCCCGGCGACAGGGCTTTAAAGTGGCAGCAGGCACCGGCAGCAGAACTTTAAAGTCCCAGCGTCGTCTGCCATAGAGCGGGACCTGGTCCTGCTGTATGGCAGACGGCACTTGGACTTTAAAGTCCTGCCGCTGGGGCCCTACCGTGGCGGCAGGCCTTTAAAGTGGCAGCAGGTACCGGCAGCAGGACTTTAAAGTCCTGGCATCGTCCGCCATAGAGCGGGACCTGGTCCCGCTCTATGGTGGACGGCACTTGGACTTTAAAGTCCTGCCGCTGGGGCCCTGCCATGGTGGCAGGCCTTTAAAGTGGCGGCAGGCACCGGCAGCAGGACTTTAAAGTCCCGGTGCCGCATCTGCCATAGAGCGGGTCCCGATCCAGCTCTATGGCGGATGCAGCACCAGAGCTTTGGCGGGGCTTTCGCGCTTGCCTCACTGGCCATGAAGCTCACCACACATCACTGATTTATAGCTATACAGATGAGCCCATCTACTCATCCAGAGCCTGAACCCCGGGGAAAACAATAGGCCTTGACAGTCTTTCTGAAAGGGTTCGGGACAATAGTGAAGATGGATGAATATTGTTCCAGGTAGGAAGTGGTACCAAGAAGGTACATTTCTAAGATCCATAAGGTGACATTACTTCAGTAAGGGAACCAGGTGTGTGTTCATTTTGTTGGACATGTGGAACTGTCAAATACATTTGGGAGCAGAAAGTTTCACAAGTAGCCCTATCCTATGCAATGTATGGTGGCAGGGACTAGTTTAGTGTAGTAGCTAAGGCATGACACTAGAAAGCAGGAAGCCAGTTCATGTTAAACAGAAAGCCAGTTGGATATTGAGGGCAATTGCAAACCATTTCTAAAACCTTACCAAAAAAAGATTTGCAGAGGACTTGTACAGAGAGAGACAGAGGGAGAAGGAGGGAGGGAGGGTGGGAGGGGGAGGGGGAGAGGGAGAGAGAAGGGGGGGAAGGGAGGGAGGGAGAGAGAACAATATAGGACTTTATAGCTGATAACCAACTCCAACATCTTGACTTAACTAGAGTTATGCAGACATAATTTCTCACTTTATTGCATTGTGGACCAGTTGATGCTCCTGGATATATTGAAGATCAGGGCCATATCAAGTATGTTGCAATAATTCAAAAAGTATTATGGAGTCAGTGTAGTTAATGTATGCAATGAATATGCAATATGATTAGGCACTACATTGTAAACCATCAATTAAGAACAGACCATGTTTTATAAGCATATTCTGTATTTTTTGGAGTATAAGACGTACCTTTTTTCCTCAAAAAAGAGGCTGAAAATATGGGTGCGTCTTATACATCGAATACAGCATTTTTGCCCCCGAAACTCCACCCCCTTCACCAAAATGGCCATGCATACCTTATGGAGGCGTTCAGAGAGCTCCTGGGAGCTGGGGAGGGCAGAAATGAGCAAAAAAATGGGCAGTTTTTTGCCCCTCCAGCCCCCAGCAACACTCTATAAACCTCCATAGGACTATGCATGAATTTTTTTTTGACGAAAACGGACCCGTTTTTTGCTCATTTTTGCCCCCCCCCCCAGGAGCATTCTGCAAGACCCTCGCCAAGGTTATTCATGCCTTTTTTTTGTTGAAAAAAACAATTTTCACAAAAAATGGGCCGTTTTTGGGAGGTTTGCAGTGCAAAAACTTTTTTTTTCCTTTTGGAAAGTTCTTTAACTGATTGATGAGAATTACAATGATCAAGCGCTGTGCCAGCAGGAACAAAGTCTTAGGTGCTGCAGTTTGTCAGCGATTTCCTTCTCCAGCACATGGATAAATACATCTGGAAACATCTACCTATCTACCTACCTACCTACCTACTCTCTCTCTCTTTCTCTTCCTACCTATCTACTGTACCTCTCTCTCTCTCTCTCTATTTCTCTCTATCCCTCTACCTACCAACCGACCTACTCTCTCTCTCCCCCCCTACCTATCTACTATATCTCTCTCTCTCTCCCCCTCTACCTATCAACCTACCTACTCTCTTTCTCTCTGTCTACTATATTTCTCTCTCTCTTTCTATTTCTCTCTCTCTATCCCTCTACCTACCTACTTACCTACACTGTCTCTCTCCCTACCCACCTACTGTATTTCTCTCTTTCTCTCTCTCTTTCTCTCACTCTCCCCCGCCTCTCTCTCTCCCTTTATCCACCTACCTAACTACCTAAGTACTCTCTCTCTCTTGCTACCTACCTACTGCATTTCTCTTTCTCTCCCTCTCTAACCCTCTATCTACTTACCTTTTTTTAAAAAAAAATTGCCTCTTGATGCATCTTATACTCCGATGCGACATATTCCAAAAAATACGGTAGATAGCATACTATATAACTCATTTCTAGTATGTATTTGGGTTGTATGATAAGCAGCAACTATAGTATTGTTTAGATGGTGAAAGCTAATTCAGGAAAAAGTGGAACTGCATCCTGGCCTTTTGACACATTTGTTTTGTACATTGTCTTCTGTATGTTCTTGCAAAATTGTCTAGCTTACAGGAAGCATGACAGATAACTGATCTCCTTCCTGAATTTTATAACTGAAGAATTTTCATTTCAAAGCATTTCATTTCTGCCTCTTCTTTTAGGGTTAATATTGATATAATGGAGATACTGTTCTGCAGACCGCTTCTATATTAATTCTATATTAGTGAATTGGTAACCAATTTTCTTCTCCCAAAGGTTCTTTTTCAAAAGTAAACTGGACTTTGTTTTTTCCTTAAGACATTTCACTTCTCACCCAAGAAACTTATTCAGTTCCTTTTCTGTTCTTCAGAACTTAAGAAGCTTCTTGGATGAGAAGCTCAAGTGACAACCATGACCTGGATGACTGAGAATCTCTGTAATCATTCCGCTTCCCCCCCCCCCCCAATCACTTGATCCTAGTCCCTATGACATGTGCCCCGTATAGAAAAACTCAGAAGCCATGGTTCTATGATTCATGTTAATGCTCAGTTAAAGTAAAAATAAATGATTTACGACTTAATCACAACTTGTTACACCACTCACTCACTCACTCGACTCCTCTTCACCCAACGTGGGTATAGGATACTTCCATGGAAAGTTATGGCGATCCATGGAAGCTGTTTCGGCTGAATATACCCAAGGGGACGCCAGTCCCAAGGGTCGACAGAGCCCGATTGGTNTCAGTGATGTGTGGTGAGGTTAATGGCTGGTGAGGCAAGCGGGCAAAAGCCGCCCTGCCACCCTGGCGCTATGTCCGACATAGAGGTGGCTTTTGCCTCTAGCGCTGGGGTGGCAGGGCGGCTTTTTGCCCTCTTTCAAGAAAGTTTCCCTGGAAGTTTTGCGGGGAAACCCTGCAGGCCCCGGGAAGGAATGGAGCAGGGGAGCCCCTGTACAGGTCATGAGAGGCACGGAGGGGATGCGGGAATGCGGAGGGGACCGCAGAGCTGGAGGAAGAGAAGGAGGAGGAGGGGGAAGAAGAAGAGGAAGACTCTGGAGTTGGCTCACCTGTCCCTCTGTCCATCGGGTGGCTCAAACACTGTGCTCCATCTGCCCGGCTGCTGCTGCTTGCCTGTCTGGCTGTGATCGCAGAGCCCCATTGTGCAGGGACGGTGCTGACCTGGAGCTGGATTGCAGGGGGCAGTGCAAAGCAGGGGAAGTGACAGGCGGCAGGAGCGGGAGGCAGCCAGCCACCCAGCCAAGCAGGGGCGATGCTCCAGAGCGTCCCCTCTGTGCCGCCTGCCTGCTTCAACTGCTGGGAAGTGCCCTTGACTTCTTGCCTTACCGTTCCCCTCTGCATCAAGGCAAACCACGGGCAAAGGGTCTCCCTGGGGGAATCCTGCTCAGTTCCCCAGAGCCCGGCCAGGGGTTCATAATGTCTGCGGGGCTCGGATGGGAAAGATCTGCACTCCCCCCGCCCCCAAGTCCTCACCAGTCTGCCAGTGCTCTTAGGATGATCCTCCCTCCCACCCTTGGGGATCAGTCTTCCAAGCGGCACAGCGGGGCTTCAGCGGGGCTTTCGGAAAGCTACGCCAGGGCTTTCGGAAAGCTACGCCGGGGCTTCCAGGGAGTTTTCCGAAAGCCCCCCGAAGCCCCGCTGTGACTTTCCAAAAGCCCCGCTGATGCCGCAAAGCCCACCCACCCCCCACCTGACCTACTCCCACCTGGCTGGCTGACCAGCTGGCACAAGGCCTCACCACTCTTCTCCTCCTTGTCCTCCCCACTCAAGCAGCGGCAGGCTCCGTGGGACAACTGGGTCTCATTCCTCCCCCGGTGCGGCGAGCTCCAGAGGGCTGGACGCGGGTGTGAGGGGCCTGGCAAAAGAAAGAAAGTGCCAGCCCGCCAGCAGAGGCGGGTAAAAGACACCCCCACCCCCACACACAAATTACTCACAATAAAAAATTACTTACAAATTAAATTACAATAATTTTGAATTCCTCCCCCCTGCCCCCTCCCTCGGACCCACATACCTGGATTTTCCAGCTGTGTCAGAGGATTTCAACTCTCCTCTTGTCTGCCATGATGAAAATGTAAAAAGAAAAAGGCAAATTCGGCAAGATTTGCTGCTGCCAGAACAGGAGGCAAAGAACCACGTGCCTCCTTTGCATAAGGAATTTTTCTCCTTTTAACCCTTGCTTAACTCTGAGCAAGGGTTAAAAGGCGAAAAATTCCTTATGCAAAGGAGGCCCGTAGTTCTCTCGCCTCCCCCTGCAGTTNCAATTGGACAAAACTTCATGTTGAAAGAAACACAAATATGGGATGTGGGAAGGCAGAATTTTACTTAAAAAGCTTCGAAATGAAATTAAAGTTAGTTCAAAATTATATGTAAGTTTGCTGAATATCTCACTTACTTTGACAGATCTCCATTGAAAAGATGAGATGTAACTTTCATGGAAAAGTATAGTGTATCTCAGTGATACTCTTATATAAAGTCACCTCAGTATACTTAATATGAGATTTATCCCCCTCCGCCCACAAAAACAATTGATAGAAAAAGTCAGTATTTAAAAATTGCTTCATCCTAAAATGAATCTTGTTGCAGAACTGCCTGGCATTCTGGCATTGCCACCATAAATGAAAAATAATGATTCAAAACTAATTGTTATATTTACAACAGCTTAGTATTTCAAATATGCGCAATTTTCCAAAGAGAAAAAAATATACATCAATTTATTTGAGAGTAATAGGTGAGTGACACAAATACATTTCCCCCACATTGATATTCCCATTCTTGCTTATAAATTATCCTATTTAATTAAGCATCTGATTAATTGTGCAGTCTTTGTCTTTGAATTGTTGAGTTTCTGAATCATATTTCTGTAAAATGTTTTGTGCGCGTGCACGCACAAACACACACAGAGACACTCAACAAATATTCTGAATTTTGTGATATAAGCTTTTCAAAGTTGGTCAAATCTCAAATATTCCACTCTGTTTTTATAGTTCCTTTCAAATTATATTATTTACTGGAAGATGTTAAAAATATTTCAAATGAAATAGTCTCAAGATTTTTGTTTTATTAAAAGTTAAACCTTGCAATCAAAGTGAATTGTTATATTTTCGTTGATCATGTTAGCATATTTGCCTCTTTTATAGTAAATGTTTAATACTGAAGCAACAGAAGCCTTGAACTTTTTGATTCATAAATAAGATATTTATAATCAAATGGTCTCTTATGCACATATATTTGCACCTGACCAAACATATTTGTTCAGGTTTTCTGATTCCTCATTTCTTTATGTCATACACAAAATTAAAATTGAATAATAACTTCAATGTTCCACCAAAATAGCTTTAATGTTCAATCTTTTTTTTTCAATTTCATGAAAAAGAAATTGGTAAAGTAGAAGGCATAAAAGAGTGGAGTAATGCTGAGAATTATCCTGAAATATGGCAATTCCATGCGTGCCGAATTGTGTATATGTGTGCCTGCCTGCCTGTGTATGTGGTATGTCGCTTTGTGTCAGTGTTGATTCCTGGCAACTGCCTTTACATCAGTGGTGGGATTCAGCCAGTTTGCCCCTACTCAGGAAAACCGGTTGTTAACTTTCTAAACAGTTCGGAGAACCAGTTGTTGGAAGAAATCTCATTTGGTTTTCCCCCCACTTTACAGGGCTAATCCTGTAAGGAAGGCAGGAAGGAAACATTCAATGTTGTTTCTAGCCTAATCTTTATTGCCCTGCTTACAGAAACTGCCTCTCCGGTTAACCCTTATTACATTGTAACAGCTAAGGCTGTTACACTATGCCTATTGACCTGAGTGAAGTTGAGTTGGCCATACCCAGTCAAATCACATGACCACTGAGCCACGCCTACCCAGCTGGTCATTAGGGCAGAGAACCATTTGTTAAATTATTTGAATCCCACCACTGCTTTACATGTCCCTGCAATTTTTGGGCAATATTTTATTGTCTGCTTTCCAGGGCTGAGAGAAAGTGACTGGCCCCAGGTATCCAGCTGACTTTGTGCTTAGGACTGAACTAGAATTTACACTGTCCTGGTTTCTAGCCTGCTGCCTTAACCACTACACAAAACTCTATGCCAAATAGTAGAGCCCTTCATGCTGTCATGCAGATCCAAAACAAACCCTCCGTATCACACTGCTGTTGCCAACTTCCATTTGTTTACAAAATCATGTATGGAGAAAGTAGGGATATACTGAAGATCTCACAGTGCTCACTTTGGACACTGCACCATTAACTTTGACAGGAGGATTTTCCTTTTTCTTCTCTCTAGGAATGAGTATTTCTTGAAAATATGTAAATTATTTAATTATTTCTTCTCCCCTTCATTCCAGACTTATTTACCTTAAAGGGCAACAGCAATGGGGCTCCTTGTGTATTTCCTTTCCAGTATGCTACCAAGTGGTATGCAGAATGTACAATTGAAGGAAGGAATGATGGTTTGCTGTGGTGTTCAACTACAAGAGATTATAACAAAGAGAAGAAATATGGATTCTGTCCTACGAATTGTAAGGATTTTTCAAGAGAAAAGTGTTAATCATAGAACTATGTAACACTGTTGTATAGAGGAAATACTTGCTTTTTAAAGATTAATATTTGTTTGTTTAGTGAGAGAATACAAACAGATTATCTCTGGGTGGTTTATAAAAATAATAAAACACCAAACATATAGAAAACAACACATGCCATTAAATAGCAACTAAAGTAGTAAAGAGTGATCAGAGTTTATAGCAGGGACATGCAGTCANCAGCCTGAGACCAGGGTCCTGATTGCTCACGCCATCTGCTCACGCTATAATTCTATTATAATTCTGTTATGTTTTCGGTTATATAACTTTCCAACATTTTGCAAAATTTGGGCCTGACTGGATTTTCCAGTTCCATGAAAAATTTTCAGTTGGGACTTAATTCACCTATGTGGAATCAGGAAGACTGTCTATGCATTCATATGGAGAGCAGAGAGATGGGGGTGTGTGGAGGGAGGGAAAGGGGGAGGGAAAGGGGGAGGGAGGGAGGGAGAGGGAGAGAGAGGGGGGAGAGACAAAGAGAGACAGAGAAAGACAGACAGAAAAACACACACACACACACACACACACACACACACACCAACCCAGAAACTTAGTTAGCTACTTCAGTTCGCAAAGTAGAGTTACTGTATGAAGATATAATGTCTTACTTTATTGCATTGTGGACCAGTTGATGCTCCTGGACATACTGAAGATCAGGGCCACATCAAGTATGTTGTAATAATTCAAGAGCATTATTTCCACCCTTGATAATTTCACTTCAGTTTTCTTTTCTTTTAAATGAAACATTTAAAGCACCTTGTTCTTATCCAACTGAAGAATAACTTGGAGAATAAAAAATACAGATTTATTTTCCCTATGAGATACTAGTCTGAGAACTCTAGGAACAGGAAGTAGCATTCAAAGTTTGAATTTCCAACTGACAGTTGGATACATCTTGCTTTTTGTTGCATTTTCACATCAATCTGTTGCATATTTAGATCAGTCTATTGGTTTTATTAAACACACATATATTATCCAATTCATCTATCATGATTAGAAAGTTTTGCTTGAAGGTGTGGCAAGCAATGCCTACTGATCTTTGGGAAATTAGAAGGGAGGAATTGTTACTCATTAGCATAATTCACCTGTGGATATAGAAGATCACAAATTCAACTCCTGCATGTGAGTTCAAAGGATCTGATATTAAATGACTGGGGGGGGGGGGGAAATAGCCCAGTTTGTTTGAGGAACCACTGCTAAATGGGTCTAAATATTTCCTGGAAACTGGACTATTCGGTTTTGCTCAAAGCTGCTTGCTTTTTTCTTTTTTTAAATATATGTTAAATGGGGGTTTAATGTTCAACCAGTGAATCTTTATCAATAGTTGGAGCAAAATAAGTAATATAGAAGAAGCAGCGGACAAATATTGAAGTTCCATAGTTAATGCAAGCTACAAGATTAAGCTTTTTTTAATGCAGAACTTTTAATTTGGAAGACATACAGTATGTTCCTTGGGATGAATAGGTACTGGACATATTTGGCCTCCATCAGGGAGATGAAACCTGTGAGTCTTCTCCATGTATGAGCAGCATAACTGTGGTGGATCATAATGGGTTGCAAAAAATATTTTTGTGCAATGTTCGTTATGTGTTTCAAATCTACTGAAACTCTTTCAGTTAAAGTGAAATGTTGAGAATTTTGCATAGACCACAACATTCCATATCTGAGAGAAGTATTCTGCTTCTTGCATCAAAATATCTCCATTGTCAGTAATAGGATGTGTAGGGACAGGGACATGAAAGCAAATAGGCAAACCATGTGAACATTTCAGGAATTCAGAAAGAAGAACCTCTGTCATGAGACAACAATCAAAATGACAGTAAGAGCAGGAAGCCAAATAGTATATTGTGCTCTGTTCTTTTGGATTTTGTAGAACTCTGAAGAAATCGTAATGTACATGACGTTTTATTCATAGTATTTTAGTCCCATGAAAAGGAAACACCTGTTATATTCTGGCATAGAGTCAGATTATATTGGCTATCTTCTATGTAGGACTTTTTAAAGTTATCTCCTCTTGTTTAATAGAATAGACTAACAGAGTTGGGAGGGACCTTGGAGGTCTTCTAGTCCAACCCCTTNGGAGGCCCGTAGTTCTCTCGCCTCCCCCTGCAGTTAGGACTAAGCAGAGTTATCCACTGTGACTCTGCCAGCAACTACCTTAGCCTTTTTCCTTTTAATTTTTCTTTTCCTCATGACACTGGTGAGGCCTTGCCTCCCCTGCCTCCCCTGACTGCACGTCCCTGATAGTAATACAGTCTTAGTAAATAGTTTGACAGTGTTGTAGGAATTAGTTGTTTAGCAGAATGATGGTGTTGGGGAAAACACTGTCCTTGTGTATATTTGTTCTGGTGTGCATAACACCATTTTGAGGGTAGAAGTTGAAACAATTTATGTCCAGGATGTGAGGGGCCTGTAGATATTTTCACAGCCCTCTTTTTGACTCGTGCAGTATACATGTTTATGTGAATGCTTCCAAAGATGCTCCAGCTTTATGATTGCCGTGCAGTCAATGAAGACAAGTAGAATCCCGTTCCAGCAAAAGATGACAGCAAAACATTATATTTTCTGTATCTCTTTATTGGCATATTGATATTCCAAGTCTTATTAAGCATCCTTGTACTCTCTCAGGCATCTCTAAGTTCTTAAATGGTTATCAAACTCCAAATACTACATGAATTGCTTTAAGGTACCGAGCCATTTTTCTTTAGCTGATTGTCAGACATTACTAACATGCATTTTTTTTTAAAGTTAGATCTTTCTAATTCCAAGTTCAGCATTTTTGTATTTTACTTTGAGAAATTCCCAGTTATCTCATTCCCCAGTTATGTCAATAATCTGGTCACTGGAGTTAAACAGTAGTATAATATTGCTACTGGAACTAGTAAGTTCTATTCCAGTTTTGGGAAGTTGGATGTGATAGTTCCAGTTCTCTTTGCCAAGAAAAATTCACCTGTCTAAGAAAGGTGATAGTGAATCAGTAATATATTCAGTCTAACTTCTTTGCTTTCAGATTTTTTCCAAAAATAACAAGGAAAATAAATTCTGGCTCTAGCCATGTCCGCCTCTGCCTCTTCTGTCCTAACCTAAGCAACCCCACTGTAGCAAGTTGATATTGATTAAATGATGGGTTTGTAATTAAGAAAATACTGTATGTATAAAGCATGGCTGAGAGGTTATACACAAACGCTAATATATTTTAGTCTACTTGCCATTTTATGCATACTAATGATGTTACCTAGTTGGTTAATGGAACATTTGCAAGAAAACCACCAAGCTCAGAAAGCACCAAAGGCCCCCTCCACAACCAGCCCACCTGGTTGAGGTGGGCAGCCATATAAAGGTAATCAATCAAGTACTCAACAAATATCTGAATTAAGCAGAGCTTTGATTATTGTTGATGTTGTAATGTTTTTCAGATTCTGATATACCGGCTGATTGCCCTGAAGGATGGATATTTTATGTGGGTCAATGTTATAAGATTCGCAGACAAACTACTTCCTGGCAAGATGCTTCTAATCTGTGTAGAAAGGAAGGTGGTGACCTGGCGAGCATCCATAACGTGGAAGAGTACAGTTTTATTATTTCTCTGCTTGGGTTCAGTGAGTATCGGTATGGGGTTCTGTGAATGTTCAGCCCTTTCTAAAAAGTTGGCTTGCTTGAAAGTTAACAGCAGTGGTTTATTTTGACAATAATAGTTTCATACATCTTGCTAAATGATTAAGACCTATTGCCATTAAGAATTTTAATTGTGAATTTAGCCCTTTTGCAGAATTTTCTGAAAATTTCTGTATGTGCATTTCCTCCTATCTTTGAGAACAGTTGCATTGATTCTACAGATGTTCATGAATGTGGGAATGACAGTACTCCTGCGGAGATATTATACGTTGTGAAATTGGGTGTAAATCTAATTTGCAATTTCTTTCCCTGCAAAAGAAGTCTTTTTGCTTATGTCTTATTATCAGGTTGCTTCTTGGAATAGTTTAACATTATTATTAGAGCTGGTGAAGAATTCTTTCATTTTGTCATTTGTCATTTATTAAGGTTTATAGGCCGCCCTTTTCCCTGAGGGGACTCAGGGCGGCTTACAATCNTCAGACAAATGGCTATCCAACATCTTCTTAAAGACTTCCAGTGTTGGGGCATTCACAACTTTTGGAGGCAAGCTGTTCCACTGATTAATTGTTTTGACTGCCAGGAAATGTTATACAAGTTTATGGTTTTTCTAATGACTCAAAAATCCATGAAACAATGCAATGCTGGAGATATATTCTCCTACTCAGATAAATAAATAATACGTTATTATCACAGAATAGCTCAGATAAATAAAAATAACTGAATATCATGCATCATTATATAAATATCTTTATATAAATAATTTAAGATTTGCATACATTTCTCTTGGTTTTGTAATTAGAAACCTACTTCAAAGGCTGACATTACAGCTTCTGTGTCACTTTAGCATTAATGGTAAAAACAGCTTTGGACGGCATTGGAATCCAACAGGGCAGTAATAATGTTTATGAATAATACTCTCTCAGCAATGGTATTCAGCCACCATTCCAAGTTACTGTCAAACACTGGAAAATAAGGAAGTCTAGGCATTCAAAAGAATATACAGGTTTATTGCTCCTTACAAGAATCTGAACTACTAATAATCAAAACAAATAGGTAGTAATAAGAGTCAATGGAATCCAAGCTGGGCTGGACTTAGATCTCTTGTGGGCATGAAAGGACTCAAGACTGATGATATGTTTGACACCCCCGTCCCTTGAGCTTAGCCTACAGTTACAGTGACATTAAAAAAGGCAATCTATGACAGGCCCTTGCAGTTGTTGCAGTGGCTCTATAGTCACATGATTATAATTTGGGCACTTGGCTCTAAGAGTCCAAATTATGATTGCATATTTATGATGATCACAGCATTCTTTTCTAAAGAGCGCGGTGGTGCAGTGGTTAGAATGAAGTACTGCAGGCTACTTCTGCTGACTGCTGGCTGCCAGCAGTTTGGTAGTTCGATTCTCACCGGCTCAAGGTTGACTCAGCCTTCCATCCTTCCGAGGTCAGTAAAATGAGGACCCAGACTATTGGGAACAATATGTTGACTCTGTAAACTGATTAGAGAGGTCTGTAAAGCACTGTTAAGAGGTGTATAACTCTAAGTGTACTATTCTGCAGTCTGATTCTTTATTTTTTGCAGATTTTTTTTATTTTTTCCCCTTCTACAACACCTTACAGTCATTACATCAACATTGTTTTGTCATACCTGTACATGTACAGGGCGGGGCATAACCTTTTCCTAGGGGGTCACAGCAACACTTGTAATAACAACACAAATAATTCATACACCATTCGAAAGCCCANTCAGACAAATGGTTATCCAACATCTTCTTAAAAATTTCCAGTGTTGGGGCATTCCCAACTTCTGGAGGCAAATTGTTCCACTGATTAATTGTTCTAACGGTCAGGAAATTTCTCCTTAGTTCTAGGTTGCTTCTCCCCTTGATTAACTTCCACCCATTGTTTCTTATCCTGCCCTCAGGTGTTTGGGAGAATAGTTTGACTGCCTCTTCTTTGTGGCAACCTCTGAGATATTGGAACACTGCTGTCTCCCCTAGTCCTTCTTTTCATTAAACTAGACATACCCAGTTCCTGCAACCGTTCTTCATATGTTTTAGCCCTCAATCCTAATCATCTTTGTTGCTCTTCTCTGCACTCTTTCTAGAGTCTCAACAACTTTTTTACATTGTGACAAAAACTGAATGCAGTACTCCAAGTGTGGCCTTACCAAGGCATTATAAAGTGGCATTAACACTCCACGTGATCTTGATTCTATCCCTCTGTTTAAGCAGCCTAGAACCATATCGGCTTTTTTTGGCAGCTGCTGCACACTGCTGGCTCATATTTAAATGGTTGTCCACAAGGACATTAATGATTGATTAGTATAAAAAAATGTCTGCAGAAGGCATCAAATTAGAAAATTATTACTGAAAAGCAATCCCTTCATATTTCAGTGCTGTCCAGTGGAGGAAGGGTTTCATAGAAACCATTCCTTATATACCACTTGTGAGGCAAAGATTCCTGGATCCACGGGAGTGAGGACTTATTGGCAGGATGGGAGAGGCAGAGATATGTTCACACAGCTTTACAACTTTCCCTTAATCTGACTATTTGTCCCATTGTTCATAATGGTTAATGCTTGCTAAGAAGATGATCTTGATGGAGCCATGCAGGCAAAAGGATCTGAATTTTTTTAAAAAAAAAATACAAAACAAGAAGATAACATTCACAAATGACTCAGCCAGAGACATCCCTGATTTACTGAACTATAAGAAGGAAGAGGGGTGCAGCACAATCAGACTTCCAAGGTTCTATTATAGATTATTTCAATAAGAGTAGTTTTTATCTTTCTGTGGAGTTGATTTCCTCGTCTGGTCTACCTAGTGGGATTGATAATGCTTGATCTCCTTGTGGATGTCCTTGCATATTACTCAAAGGTTCAGGGAAAGAATTAGTGGGAAACCTGTATACTAGAGACCATTTGTGGGTGACTTGCTCATACTGACTGGGAATTCCGGGAATTGTAATCCTGACACATCTGGAATATGCCCAGTTGAAGAAAGTAACTTAAATGACCTTCAATAAACAGCAGAAGACCTCAATACAGGAGACAGCATCCAAGATTGATATGGATTGTGGAAAAAGTACATTGTTTCAATTTTATTTCTTTTTTTAACCTTAAAAATGTGCATGATATCCTTTAAACCCATTCTCTCAAAATAGTTTGCAACATTCTAAAATCACATTAAACAAGCACACTAAAACATTCACTAAATGCAAAGTAAACTATAAACACTAAAAATATAAGTAGAAGATTGGTTATTTAGAAAAAAAAATATTTCAGCATATATGTTGAAAATATTAATATACTTTTTGTTTACCTGTAATGAATTAGAACCAAGTGATGAATTATGGATTGGTCTGAATGATCGCAAGATTCAAATGTTCTTTGAATGGTCAGATGGGAGTCCTGTGACATATACCAAATGGCTCCGTGGCCAGCCAACACATGCTTATAACAGGCAAGAAGACTGTGTGGTCATGAAAGGAAAGGTAAATGAAGTTTTGACATCTTCACTATATTCTAATTAATTATTGTTAGAATCCTCATAATACTTGACTACTCTATGTAGTCAACCGATTAAATGGAGAGAATCTTTCCATTCGTATTATGAGCCACAGTGGTGCAGTGGTTAGAATGCAGTACTGCAGGTTACTTCTGCTGACTGCCAGTTGCCTGCAATTTGGCAGTTCGACTCTTACCAGGCTCAAGATTGACTCCCCCTCCCATCCTTCCGAGGTCAGTAAAATAAGGACCCAGATTGCTGGGGCAATATATTGATTCTGTAAACCACTTAGAGCGGTCTGTAAAGCACTGTAAACTGGAATATAAGTTTAAGTGCTATTGCTATTATTGAATCTGTTGTGCATGGCAAATCCTCAATGTTAGTATCTCACGTTGACCAGGTGGGTAAGGATATTGAAATGGCTGAATAAAGATAATAGAAACAGAACAACAGCATTAAAAATAAAGGGTTTTGGTATCTTCACTATTACATACTATTTTCCAAACTAACTTTAAATAAATAAATAATGAAATAATAACTAATTTAGACAATTACTTTCCACCTTTCTTTAGATTAACTGAGATTACAGCTCATGTTTTACATATAAAAGGTCTCAAATTTGCTCTCTGACATCTCTAAAATAAGGCTGGGAAACCTATCTTGTCATTAAGAGAATACTGAGATAATTGGATAATAGTTTTGCTTTACTTTTAGGCAGTATCCTGCAGAAGAACCAACAAGCTTTGGTAGACCAGCACTAGTCAAAAGTGCATGAGGTTCAATTTTGAAATCTATAATCCAGTTCTGATATCACTCCACAAGTGTAGTATTAAGAGCTGCGTTTTATTTTATTTTTTAATTTGTTACTATAATTTAAATTCCCTCAGAAATAAAATGTTACTTCTATAAAATAAAGCAGAATAAATTCTATTGCATCTGATGCATCCATTTAATATATATATTGTTTTAAAGGTAAATATATATAGAATTTTTTGCTGATAAATAAATGAAGGGAGACTAGTATAGATCTATTTCAAGCTATTTAGCTGACATCAGCTAGCTATACCCTTACTGGGATTTGAACTTGGGCTATTTTACATGTTAGGTTATAACATGTATAAAAGTTATAATAACCTCTGAGTCACAAGGTCTCCTCCCTTATCAGATGAGCCAGGGGAATGATTAGATGTTTTGTCAAGGCACCTGGTATGCCCCAAATATGAGAGGGAGCATACTACTTCCCTTTTGCCTTTCAGTCCATCCTAGGAGCTTTCCAGGCAGAAAACCATTTTTGTATTGAATTTTTTGCTGATAAATAAATGAAGGGAGACTAGTATAGAACTATTTCAAGCTACTCCCCTGGCTCAGCTGATAAGAGAGGAGAACTTGTGGTTCAGAGGTTATTATAACTGCCTAACAGGTAAAATAGCCCAAGTTCAAATCCTAGTAAGAGTGTGGCTAGCTGATGAGAACTAAATAGCTTGAAATTGATCTATACTAATCTCCCTTCATTTATCAATAAAAAATTCAATACAAAAGTGGTTTCGGCCTGGAAGGCTCCCAGGGTGGAATTAAAAGACAAAAGAAAAGCAATATGCTCCCTCCCATATTTGGGGCATACCAGGTGCCTTGAGAAAACATCTTATAAATGTATATGTATGTATGTATGGTTTTGGGATTTTAAAAAGTTTATTAAACTGTTAAGAAAGTTCAGGGGCTGTCAGCAAAACAACTCTACTGGGTGAGCCATAAGGAGAAAAGTCAAACCATCACTCCTAAAGAGACAGTCTGCATATCTTATTGACAGATGATAGAGGAATTCTGACATTTTCTTCTGCCCAACACAGGATGGGTATTGGGCAGATGAACCTTGTGAAATGGAATATGGATACATTTGCAAAAGGAAACCTTTAAAACAAGCACCAGAAAAGGATATAATTGATGAAGGATGCTCGAAAGTAAGTAGAAAATTGATGAGATCAAAGTGCTAAGTAGTTACTCTTCCTGGTTCTATGTAATTTGTTCAGTAAGTATGAGAATGGAACAAAACTAAAAAAAACATCTGATTATTGATTCATCTTTAGGTACTCAGGTGCTGATATTCACAGATTGCTTGAAGGAATTTTAAAGTTCTGTCTTCTATGTTTTGAATTCAATATAATAAAATATTAAAATGTGTCCTATATTATTTTATAAAACAAATAACCTTAAAAGAAAAGTGCAAAGATGTACACTTGTAAAAGCAATTAATTCAAAATGGGGGCACAACCAATAATTTATATAATATTAAAACTATTTCAAAATGTGAATGTCCTCAAAAATATTTTCAGAAGAGATTTGTACTTAAATATTTTAAAAAAGAGCAGAAGCAGAGTAAATATTATCTCTTACATGGAAATATATTCTATGAGTTTAATATCCCTTTTAATATCATATTCATAACAGCATGGATATCCCAACAGAAGAGTAGAAAGTGGCTTTTCATTGATTAATCTCTTATCATATTTCATTTAAAGAAATATTTAGCAGAATTATTTTTGTATCTGTCTGAATTTTCTCCCTCTAAACTGACTATTGCTTTTGCTTCAAAAGCATAAGTTCTCAACATATTTTCCTTGTGATCTTCCATACTTAAAAAAAAAGAAATAAAGAACATAGAATGCATACATACCATGAAACTAGAAGGAGGAAGGTCAGAGCAAAGAGCATGAGATCAAATGAGTCACTTATGATGACAATGCTGAAATATTAATCACCCTTCCTCATGAGATATGATTTACGGTAGTCTATTATTCTGTTAGAGTATACAGATAGAGAAAAGGGATGTCGGATTTGAACTTTGAAGATCAGAGAAAGAGAGAGGGAGGATTAGATAAATGTAGAGTTCCTGCTTTTCTGACGCATTTAAGTTTTTTGTATTATCTGTAATAAAACTGTGTTATTAAAATCGGTGCCCTTGAAATCTTTGCCTGCTTTCCTTCAAGTTTAAGTAGTGGTTAAAGTGAATCTTTACACAATGCTGTATAGGACAGCTTAGCTATAGCAAAAAGGCTACTTATATATGGTTAGGTTTCATTCTCTTCTCTTTCCAGGGCTGGAAAAGATACTATTTATACTGCTACATGATTGGAAATACATTTGCATCATTTGCTCAAGCGGGTCAAAAGTGTACAGATAATGGGGCTACTTTAGCTTATGTTGAAAATAGGTAATAAACATTGATTTAAAATGGTTTTATTTAAAGAGTGCTAATTATATATATATATATATATTTCCCGTGTCTTCTGAAAAAATACATTCTTGCTGCAGACAAGTCTGGCACTATGAAGTTGTAGTCTGCTTCAACTTTCAATATGCCCAGTCTTCATGATCAAATACAAGTTTAGATAGTTGGAAATAATGAGTAAAGTAACAGATATTCAAGTTGAAAAATATTTAACTCCCTTGAGATTAGCTTTGGTGCAACATTTAACTAAATTTAAAAGACAGACAATATCTAAAACTGTTCCAACTAACAGGAACAATTTTTCAAGGATAAAGAGGTTTCAAAGGGAAGGAGGAAAAAAAAAAGACAATTCCTGTTTTAGGAGTGTGATCTATTCCATTTAGTATGGAGCATTAAGTTCAGATTGATAAAATACTCTCCAAATGTTGGAGCCATGCTAATAGTCTTTTGGCTGATTGGTCTGGATTATTGCTTGTATGGATGGCAGGAAATTGTTTATTCCGAGAACTTTGTGGTTCCTATATTCATTTCAAACACAACTATTACCATATTCTACTCATCAATGTACTCAAACAATTCTCTGCTGACAACCAGAGAATAGGTCTATAGAAGTAAACATGCTCTCTTTCTAATAAATCATCTAAAACATTCCTGAAATTTAAACAAATATGCAAGTTTGTTGTTCAGTCATTAAGTCATGCCCAACTCTTCATGATCCCAATGGACCACAGAACACCAGGCCACTCTGCCTTCGGCTGTCTGTTTCCAGGAGTTTTCCCACATACATGCTCATTGTGTTGACTATTTAACCATTTCATCCTCTGCTGCCTCCTTCTTTTGCCAACATCTGGGCCTTTTTCAATGAGTCATCCCCTTCTATTTTGTGAAAGCTAAAAATATTGAGCTTTAGTTTCAATATCTGTCCTTCCAAAGAATAATCTGGGTTGATTTTCTTAAATATGTAATTGCTTTAAAGAATTTAGAAATAATTTTGGACGCTGACATTGGCACACATAGCACATTGTGACAAATATGGGCAAAATTGATAAAATTGGCAATTTTTTTTGCCAATTATCTCTTTTCTACAGGTATGAACAAGCTTTTCTGACCAGTTTGGTTGGCTTCAAGACTGAACCTTATATCTGGATTGGTCTGTCCGACATACAAGAAAAAGGAACATTCAGGTGGACCAATGGACAACCACTCCAATTCACTCACTGGAATTCAGAAATGCCAGGTACATATAATTAATATTTGGAAATGGCTCTACTCTGACCTATTGAATTTAATAAAGTTTTCACTTCATATCTTGATCTCACTGAGATCAAGGGATACATTTATTTATTTTTCTCAGTCACACAAACATTTTTTCTGAAAATGCGCTTCCTTGGAATTGACTGAATGGAAATAGATTATCCCTGGTCAGTTTATTTAATTGGTCATCTTATTATTAATTACTTCCTTTATTAGAATTAGCTCTTGATCTGATTAAATCAAAAAAATGAATTAATGCATTTCTACTTTTCTGTTTTGTTGAAGACAAAGATAACAAATCTGGCACAATGCCAATTTGGTATGAAATTGTTTTCTTTAACAATAATTTTCCTTCTTTATTAGTCTTTACAAACAATGTACTCTCAAATAAAAAAAAACCAATAGCATCCTTTGGGGAAATGGTTTGGGAAGTTATAGCAGGGCTGGGTTTCAACCGGTTCGCACCGGTCCCTGCGATCCGGTTGGTCGCCGAACCTGGAAGTAAGTAACTTCCGGGAACGGCGAAGCCCCCCCCCCGCCCACGCGTGCCCGCACACCCGCGCCCGCTCCTTACCCGGTTTTTTTGAATTTCGCGCTTTCCACGCATGCGCACAGCGCCTGCGCGATCCTCCAGGAGCAGCTGGAGCATCGCGCAGACGCTAGTACGCATGCGCGCGCCGCGTGCGTGCGCGAGGACGCCGCGTGCGTGCGTGAGGACGCCGCCAGCCTGCACGCGCGCGCCGCGTGCGTGCGTGAGGACGCCGCCAGCCTCGTTCCAACCAATCCGGTTGGAACGGGGCGAGAAACCCACCCCTGAGTTATAGTAAAATAAATTAAAAAGTAACTAAGTATTTATCTTGAATCAGATGTCTCACTTTAAATAATACAGAGATGTTTATTGTTTGATCTATCTTGAAGGTCGGAAGCCAGGCTGTGTTGCAATGACAACTGGAATTACAGCTGGATTATGGGATCTTTTGAAATGTGAGACCAGGGCAAAGTTTCTTTGTAAGCGCTTTGCTGATGGCGTGACCCCTCCACCGATATCAACTACAACACCTGCCCCTCAGTGTCCTGAAGGCTGGGTAACAAGTGAAGAAAGGAATATGTGCTTCAAAGTATGCCCCTTCTCTGTAGAATATATAACATAAGGAAAGCTAAACTTAGTTCTTGGTACTCCTAGGATGTTGCATGTAATCTTTTTAGCAACAATGTGGCTGTAATTTGCCTCCCCTTCTAGAAGGATTTTTTTTAAAAAAATTCCCACAATAACAACCATGATATACTTTACTTGTCTTTCTTCCTTCTGGTCTCCTACCACAGACTCCTACCAAAATCGAAACACAGAGTTTCAACAATATGACTTCTGAAACCAGCAATGGAGTGGTGTGTGTGTATGAGAGGGGGGGGGGAGAGAGAAGATTGGCCCCAACAATGAAAGCTACACCGCTTTTCCCATATGTTGAAACCATAAAAAGGGCAGGGTTTTGATTGCATAGTTGTGACTGTCATCTTGACAAGTTTGATCTCCCTCCACTGGGGACCAGAGCTAAGTGCTGCCACTTGCTGAGACACCAAACGTACGTGAATCTTATAAATGCATCTTTCCTTTCATTATTGTATCTATAGGGCCATGATGGCAAACCTATGGCACATGTGCCAGAAGTGGCACGCAGAGCCCTCTCTGTGGGCATGCACACCATGGCCAGCTACTTTTCTGGTTTCCGGCATATGCATGCATGCCGGCCAGCTGTCTTTGTGTGCGCTGGAAACCCAAAGACCAGCTGGCCTGCATGCATTACACGCTCATGTGCACAAGCCACCTGGTCTTTGGGTTATTGGCATTCCAGCACGCATGAAGACCAGCTGGTGCATGCCAGAAACCAGAAGACCAGGTGACCGGTGTGCATGCGTGTGCGTTCAGGTTTGGGCACTTTGTGCCAAAAAGGTTCTCCATCACTGCTATAGGGTATATCTATAGTGTTTTGCTCATTCCCACATCTTTTGAGAGACGTCTTACCAATCCAATACAATTCCAGGTTTTTCTTTTGAAATTGTCTCACTAGATATGAAAACCTTGGTTTATTCAGCTAAAACTAAGCAGGGTTGGAATTATTTTGTACATGGATAGGAGAGAAATTTTGGAAGAAGGAATTGGTAAACTTTGTTTGTATTGTTAACCAAAAAGGTCTACATGTCCACCGAGTCACCAGATGTTTATGCTCTATGTGAATACATTACTTTAGTAAAAACTGAGTTTTCTATTATATTGTATAGCTATTGCCACCTGTGAGTAAGATGGGTGGAATTTAATAAAATAAATATTGTCTTTCATTTCCATCTATGAGAAACTCAGTGGAGTCATTATTAGCTGTAAGCTGATGTCAGCTAAATTTAATTCAGCTAGTGGTGGGGAAGTTTTCCATTCTTTCTGAAGTAGAAAAAATGGAGATGAAATTTTGACATGTTGTGTGGACTGTTACTTCCCATATTTCTTTTACTGTTGTGACTGCAGTGATTTTGTCAGTATCATTACTATGCTTTGCTAATGATATACTTCTCAATTTATCATGTGCACATTGTTTTCCTGCTTAATTGCAAAATAATGTATTGTCATTAGGCTTTCTTAAACCAAGGCAAGAGGTCATGGGCAGATGCTCGGAGTTTCTGTTTAGCAATTGGAGGAGACCTAGCTTCCATTTTTAATTCGAAAGAATCCAGTATGCTGCAGAATTATTTGCGGTGAGTCCATGGATGTATGTATCTCTGCAGTGTAAACTCTTTCATTCTAGGAATATAATCAAAATGCCTTTGAACCCATGGCCCATACATTTTGTTGACAATAAAGAAGATATAAGCTGGAATTCACACACTTTAACCCACATATCACTGCTCAGTACTAGGCTGTAGATTCTAAGAATTGAAATAAAGTAACAGAACAATCTAATTAAGGTTTTTCAAACATGGCAATATTAAATTATGTGGTTTAGCTGACTAGAGAATACTGGGAGTTAAAGTCCAAACACCTTAAAGTTCCAAAATGAGAAACACTGAATTAAATATTAGGGCTAGACTCTGACTTTATAGTGTGTAACACAGGGGTATCAAAGTCAAGGCCCAGGGGCCAGATCCGGCCCATGGGATGCTTAGATCTGGCCCGTGGAGCCACCCAGAAATAGCAAAGGACTGGCCCGCAGTGCCTCTGCCAGCAAAAAATAGAGCTAGGAGGGATGCACGCGGAGTTCAGGAGCCTGTTTTTCCTGGCAGAATGCTCAAGCCTCCACAGATGCCTTGACATGAGTGACATTGACTGGCCACAACCTCTCTGGCCCCTCGAAGTCAAACACAACCCTGATGTGGCCCTCAACAAAATCGAGTTTGACACCCCTGGCATAACACATTCTCTTTGAGATGACTAATCACCATTCTTCATTCTGATACTCCTACTATTCTCCTTTTTTGCCAGTAGATGGTAGGCCATGATCCAAATCCCATTCCTTCTTTTATATGGTGGTAATATACATATTAACCTTATTTTAAAATAATTTTAAAAGAACATTTGAAAATTGGTTTGCATTTCCATTACACAGTGAGTCTACCTATCAAAAGCATTTATTGGTTTATTCTTTCAGCAATGTTCAGACTTTTTCAGATTTTAAGGGAAATCAACCATCGTGTAGGGTCTATCTCACTTTTTAAAACCTTGCTTTTATTTGTGTTTGTGTTATGTTGCAGGAACTCTGGAATCACCAGTTTCAATTACTGGCTTGGCTTAAATTATTTAAACCCACAGGATGGGTTTAAATGGAGTGATGATTCACCAGTGAGTGATTTCAACTTTTTTCTCATGCAGTATTCTTCTTGTTTTTTTTTTTTTTTAAATGCTTTGGCAAAGTAGACTGGGGAATTGAGTTGAAAAAATAAGGAATCTGGAATGTTGCACTGAAATATTGCAGCCAACAATATTGACTAATGCATTGTTCTCTGGTGAGAGCAGGATGGGGGGAGCACATCCATCATTGCTCTACTTGACCTTTCAGGGGTCTTCCACACCGTTGACTGTAATATCCTTTTGGGCCAGCTGCAGGGTGTAAGGCTTGGCATGCATTTTTGTGCTGGTTTGGCTTCTTTCTCCAAGATCAGTCCCAATCAGGGTTGATAGGAAGTGAGAGGTCCAGTTCATGGTTGCTCCCTCAAGGCTCATTACATTCTCACTCCTATTTAACATCTACTGAGTGAGATCATCTACTATCAGGGGGATAAAAAAAGGGGGGGGGACAACTTGAAGAAGTCTTGGCTGCTAATTGAGGTAACATATTCATCACTAAACTCCATGCCTTGGATCAGAATTGAATGGTTTGCTGATCTCCAGAATATAGCTAGAAATTTCCAGAAATCTAATTGCCAAATTTTCTTGGCAAAGGAGCACATTCAGTTATTTTTCAATTAAATAAATAAGTATTAAACCTCCACAAGGTTAGTTTGCTGATGTATTTATTTCAGATATTCTATAAAGGAATATCTTTTACTCCAACATACCTTACACAATGTAAAAAACAAAGCCAAAAGTATCTGTTATGCCCCCTTCCAGCAATGTGACTGCATCAGCCCTTCAGTGGCCGAAGCTAGATGATCATAATAAAATCCAGCTGAGTGGCTTTGGGCCAGTCACTCTCTCTAAGCCCAGCCCACCTCATAGGGTTATTGTTATTGCTGGAAAAGTAGGAAGATGAAGGTGTGTTGGATGTGCTATTTCTAAAATAATGAAGCTGGATTACAACAAGCCAACAAATAATATTGATAAATGGTGATAATGAAACCTGGCCTTCAGCTGAAATGACAGTTTCGCTTAGAAACCAGGAGACTGTAAGTTCTAGTTCAACCTTATGTAGAAAAGCCAGCTGGGTGACCTTGGGCCAGTCAATTTCTTTCAGCCCAATTCACCTTACAGTGTTGTTGCTGGGAGAAAAGAAGAGGAGGAAGAAACATTATATAAGTTTGCCAATTTGATAATAAAGATGGGATAAAAATCAATCAAGCCTAACAGACAAGCAAGCAAGAAAACCTGCTAACAATTTAACAAGCTAACATTGCCCAGCCCTACAATCTGTGGATGGATAAATGATATCATTAACTTCTTAAAATTCAAGCAAAATGAATTCTCCAAAAGTATCCCTGAAAAATCACCGTATTTTTCGGAGTATAAGACACACTTTTTCCCCTCAAAAAAGAGGCTGAAAATCTGGGTGCATCTTATAAACTGAATGCAGCATTTTTGGCCTTCCGAAGCTCCGCTCCTTCACCAAAATGGCTGTGTGTAGTTTGTAGGAGGCTTTCAGAGAGCTCCCGAGGGCTGGGGGTAAAACTGAGCAAAAAATAGCCCATTTTTTGCTCATTTCTGCCCTTCCCATCCCCCTGGAGCACTCTATAAGCTTCCTAAAAGCTATCCATGCCCGTTTTTGTATGGAAAAATGGGGCCCGTTTTCATGAAAAATGGGCCATTTTTTGCTCGTTTTTGCCCCCCATTCCCCAGGAACACCTTCCAAGCTCCCTAAAGGCTATTCATGCTTTTTTGGGGGGGAAATGGGCCCATTTTCATGAAAAATGGGCTGTTTTTGGAAGGATTGCAGAGTGCAAAAACTTTTTAAAAATTTTTTTCCTCTTCAAAACCTTGGTGCGTCTTATACTCCAAAAAATATGGTAGATTTCCTTGATTGTTGCAATTGATTGTCTCAATGGCAGAACACCTACTTAGCTTATAAAAAACCAGTATTGAACCTGAAACCACTAATATAGATTTTAAAAATCCAGTTTAAAGCTCTGGCAGGAGTGTCAAACTGGTGGCCTGCGGGCTGACTGCATCAGGCCATGCCTACCTTAGATCCACGAAGGGAAAAAAGCGTTGTGATACATCATGTGACGACAACATGACGCTGCTAGTTTGACCCCTGGCAGTGACTCTCTGCCTGTCAGTGTAAGCAATGTTTGCTTAGATGGGCCAGTTTTCTGACTCAGTAGTGGGGAACTTTTAATGTACAGTTAGTTTGAATTTTGCATCATAAAATGTATTTTTTCAACAAATTAATATTCCCTATTTCTATATTAGCTAGGTTATGTCAATTGGGGATATGGAGAACCTAATAATTATAATGGAATTGAACACTGTGGAGAGTTCAATGCAGAAAATATGTATTGGAATGATGTACATTGTGAGGAAATATTTTTCTGGATCTGCCAGATTACGAAAGGTACAACTTTCTTTGTCATGTGAAATCATAACATCTTCAGATTGATATCAGGTTAATAACATCAGTAAATAATAACAATATCTTTATTTAAAAAAAAAATCTGTAAGTTGGCTGGGTCTGAGGAATAATAAACATCCTTGTTTAAAATTTCTATCCATAAAGTTAGCTAGTGGTATTTCATACCTTGGGGATAAGCTATTGTCCAAGGAGTGTAAATTAACAGGGCAATCAGAGATACTAGTGGATTTACCATATTCAAAAATGCCTTTAGACTCTTACACTTCTCTTCAAGAAACTTAAATATTATGACAGAGTTAGTGTTGGCATAATCCTTTCATTGATATTAAGGAATAAAATGTTTATACGGTGTAAAAATAATAAAAACCATATATGTTTATGCACATAAAACACGTTTAACAAATATAGCAAAATAAATTTTGTTAGAATCTAGAAACGAGTGTGGAAACTCTGTAAATATTTAGTGTTTTCTAAAAAGTCAGTGGCTACATGTGAGATAAGCATAATTCTCATTAAATGTTTCCAGAGAGCAGCAACAAAAGTAAATAACTATTTCTGGACTTTTGATTGTCACCTAGTTGACCAGTGCAGAGGAAAGGATGCTGTTTTAGCTAAATTCTTTGCTTGACTCATTAAGGCTGTTATATTTTTATATAACTGTATAACTAACTATGTAACTATATAAATAGATATCTTATATATCTTTTAAATTACAAATTTTAAATCACTGAGGGAACATTTTTGAAATATCTATTTAATTTATGATAATAAACTAATTAAGAGACACTGTTTGGTGTAATAGTTATGGCACCAAGTTAGAAACTGGGATTCTGTTAGGCACAAAGCCAACTGGATAATTTTGGACCAAGCATTCTCCCTCAGCCTTAGGAAAGAAGCAATGGCAACTCATTTCCAAAAATATCCTTGCCAAGGAAAGTGCAGGGACAGTTCAAGTAGTTTGTCAGGAGTCAAAAATGACTTGAAAGCACCCCATCTCAATCATTTATGAGAATAAAAGTATGATACTATTCCATGGTGTCCTTTTAATTGAGGAACCATATATGCTGATGAGATTTTACTCTAACTTTTCTTTTTCAGGTGTGCAACTAAAGCCAGAACCAACAAATTCACCCATTCAAAGTACGTTTCTATGGCTTGTTACAATGAAATGTTTCTTTGCTGATGGTAAAGCTAAAACTGTCTTCTTGAGGACAAATTGGGCATGTGCCATTATCATGCAAACATCATTACTTATATACCTGTGTTAAATGTAGGACACAAGTATGTAAAGGCAGCATAATGATAGTTTGTTCATTGACACATTGGTTTGTTGCAGTTTGCTGAGGGCACTGCTGGCTGAAAATAGTGAAAAATAGTTTTAAATTTGAACTTTTTAAATTTTTTAAATTTTTGAAACATCTTTTATATATTTTTATCAATCAACTATTGATAAAATACAGCCATGGACAAAGAGACTGATGCTGTTGTGATTTGCATAGTATGTTCCATGTACATATTCATGCCCATAGAAGACCCAAATTACACATGGATCAAATGTAAACCAAATAAACTATTTGAAGAAAAAGTAAAGGGTCAAGAGGCAAGCCTAGATATTATGAAACTCAACCTACAAAATTAGAAACTCCAAACAAAGTAAGAAAAAGTTTATCCAAACTGAACATAATAAAGAACAAATACTTCCCAAAAAATGACCCTGTACAAAACCTTTAGAGAGACAATAGGCTTAAGATCCAGAAGGAACTTGACAATCTTGAACAATGGGCCCTATCTAACAAAATAAGATTCAAAGGTGAGAAAAATAAGGTTCTATACTTAGGAAAGAAAAACAAATGTACATGTATTGAATGCATGGTATCAGGTCCAATAGTAGTACCTGCGAGAGGGATCTAGAAATCCCACTTGACAGCCACTTAGTATAAGCCAGCGGTGTGTTGTAGCTGTTCAAAAATTCAACAGTCCTAAACTGCATTAATAGAGATAGAAACAGATCACATGAAGTGTTAGTACTACTTTATAATGCCTTGCTAAGATCACACTTGGAATATTGCATCCAGTTTTGGTTGCCATTATATAAAAAAAGATGTTGAGATTCTAGAAAGAGTGCAGAAAAGAACAACAAAGATGAAGAATGGTTACAGGAAGTGGTTATGTCTAGTCTATTGAAAAGAAGGATTAGGGGTAACACGATAGCAGTGTTTGAGGGGCTGTCATAAAAAAGAGGGGGTCAACCTATTTTCCAAAGCACCTAAAAGCAGGTGGATGGATGAAAGCTAATCAAGGAGAGAACCAACCTAGAAATAAGGAGAAATTTCCTGACAAAATAATTAATGAGTGGAAAGTTATGGCCTTCAGAAGTTATGGTTCTCCATAACTAGAGGAGAGATTGGACAGCCCTTTGTCTGAAAGGGTAGTGGTATCAAACTTGTGACATCATGTCGTCACATGATGTATCATCTTTATTAAATTAGGGTTGGGCTTGGCCAGTATATGACACATCCAGCCCACAGGCTATGAGTTTGATATCCCTAGTACAGGGTCTCCTGCCTGAACAGAGGATGGACTAGAAGGACCTTCAAAGTCCCTTCCAACTCTATTATTCTATTGTTCTGTTAACATTTCCTAACAAATTGGAGAATCTCAATTTGTTATTAGCTGCAATGCAAGAAGAAAAGATTGAATTCCACCTGTTTATATTATATTATGATTTGTGCTCCAGTGTACATGGGGGGGGGGTGTTGTCTCCTAATTTGATCACCACAATAATCCTATAAATTAAATTGACTGAAAGAGAATATCCCTAACCACCCAATGAGAGTCTTGCAATTGATAACATTTGTAACATTGTCAGATCTTTTCATAAACTGAAGGATGTTTGCTGATTGGCTGGCTGGTTGGGACATTAGAATATGACAATTAGTTTGGTGTACTACTGGCCTAGAAACTAGGAGACTATGAGTTCTAATCCCATGTCAGGAATGAAAGCTGACAGGGTAACTGTGGACCAGTTTTTCTCTCTTAACTCACTGTCTAGAATTGTTGTTGTGAGAAAATAGGAAGAGGAAAGAGTATTGTGTATCTTGGCTGCCTTAAGGTACTAAATAATAAATGTGGAAAAAATATATAGTGAATAAACAAACAAACAATATTTCTCATAGATTATCCATTTACTAGTGATGGCTGGCTCGTAAATGGAGACAAGCAGTATTATTTCAACACCAACAAATTTCCAATGGAACAAGCCCGTGCATTTTGCAAAGCAAACTTTGGAGATTTGCTTGTCATTGAAGATAACACTGAAAGAAAGTTTATCTGGAAATATGTAAGACACTCATTTATTATTTCTGATATGAGAACAATGAATGTGTATTATTTGCTTCTTTTTAGTTTATTTAAGGGGTTTCTGAGACTGTCAAACAGTGGTTCTTGATGGCATAAAATAACCACAGCCTTCTTCATAAATTTATAGCACAAAAATTTGTATTATGGAGTAACATGAGTATATTTGAGATTTCCCCATTAATGAATTAAAATGTAAGTAGCATACAAATTGCATCTATTCTACAATTGTTCATATCAAAATACTTTAGAAGTGCTGGAAAAAGTAGGGAAGCACAACTTTTAATTTTCACAACTTGATCTAAAATTCGGACATGCTGGTCTATATTCAATTTTTTAGAGCCATGCCAGTCCCAGTAAGAGGAGTCTCTCCATCCCTTGAGCCACGATAAAGCTTAGGGTTTCCTGGTGGTTCCCCATCCACATTTTCACCAGTTCCATTATAAAATGAGCTGGGGCTCCTCCAGCCACAGTCCTGCCTAGTTGGCAAAATGCTACAGGCACCCTTGTGCTCCAACATCAGTTTTATTGAATAACAGAAAAAAAGGAGTTGGAAAAGACGTTGGAGGCCTTCTAGTCCAACCTCCAGCTCAAGCAGGAAATCCTATACCATTTTAGACTAATAGTTATATTTGTATTTTTTAATCAAGGATCAAAATGTTAGGTTAACAAATACCGGATCCCAACAAGCTCTGCTTTATGATTGCAATTAAAAGCTGGCAAATATATACTTATTAAGAATTGCATTAGTGCCCAACATCATCCATCTGTTGTTAGTTTAGACTGACTTAAAAGAATAACAGAGTTGGAAGGGGCCTTGGAGGTCTTCTAGTCCAACCCTCTGCTGAAACAGGAGATCCTACTCCATTCTTTATAATTCTCTTTTGAAAATCTTCTTAAGGCATCACTATGCCAACTGTGGAACTCATCCTGCTAAAATAATCTGATTCTTGATTTTATTGGTTTGATAAACAGGAACTGCCAGAGTTGTACCTTGGGAGGAACTAAAATTTTATCAAGTATGTCTGTGATAAAGCTATGGCTATTGCTAAAAGTTACAAAAACCCATATTATGGAATACAAGAAGAAAAGGCTGGAGTTGAGGTGTTTAACCAATTTCCCTGCTTGATATTTTTCTATTTTTACTTAGGAGCCAATAACCAGTGAACACTCCATTCAGTTGCCCTGACTTCACCGTGAATCAAGGGATTATAGGGTCATAATTTTTTTAAGAGCCAATAACTGGATTATTAGCAACTCTTATTGATTTTTTTCTTAAAGGAATGATGTTTGTTTTCTAATATAGCTTCTTAAAGCAAAATATATTTTTGCTTGAGACAATTCACATGTTACAAATATATGTGATGGCCTTTTGTTTTGATTCTTTAGATCCTACAAAATGAACAGGTGAATAGCTATTTCATTGGACTGCAACTGAGCCTTGATAAAGTAACCAGGTGAGCAAACAAAAAAACCACTGCATTTTATTGCAGCACATGAGTTTCTTTTTGCTTGTTTTGTTATCCTCATACAGATAATTAAGATATCCATCTAGGAAAGCCCAATACGTTGGACTAGTTCACATGATATATTGCCATTATTACTCCATGTGGGGAGTCACAGAATAACAGAATTGAAAGGGGCCTTAGAGGTCTTTTAGTCCAGACCCCTGCTCAGGCAGGAAACTCTATACCATTTCAGAAAAATAGCTGTTGGAGCATTCACAACTTCTGGAGGCAAGTTGTTCTACTGATTAATTGTTTTAAGTGTCAGGAAATTTCTCCTTAATTCTAGGTTGCTTCTCTCCTTGATTAGTTTCTATTCATAGTTTCTAGTAGGGGAAAGGGTTTCCTGTGCATAATGTCATTGTAATGTAATGTTTCTCAACTTGGCAACTTCAAGATGTATGCATTTCAATTCTCAGAATTCTGATTGGAGAATGCTGGTTGGGGAATTCTGGAAATTGAAATCCATATATTTTAATGTCGGTAAGTTTGAGAAACATTGTTCTAATGGGAGCCTTTGCTTTTACACTGATTGACAACAATATGTTAACTTGTCTTAAAGCTGGATGGATGGATCTCCTGTCCAATATGTTGCCTGGGCACCACATGAACCTAACTTTGCAAACAATGATGAAAACTGTGTGGTTATTTACAGGAATACAGGTATATATGGCTTGCTAATTGATGATACCAGTTTCAAATGTATTTCTGTATGCATGCTAAAATTCATGGTTTTAGTACGTCACAATGCAGAAAATATGTATAAAAATGTATACAGATAGTCTTTGACTCATGAACACACTTGGGATCAGAATTTCTGCTGTTAAAAAAGGCAGTAGTTAAGTGAATACGGTCAATTTTATTACTCTTTCCCCATTGTTATTTTTTTTTTTTTTTTTTTTTATTTTTTTTTTTTTTATCTTTCCCCATTGTTATTAAGTGACTCACAGACTGATTAAGTGAATCTCACTTTCCCGTCATTCTTTACTTGTCAGAAACTGGTTGGGAAGATCACAAATTGTGATCACATGATCCCAGGAGAGTGCAACCATTATAAATACACGCTGGCTGCCAAGAGCCCAAAATTTGATCATGTAGGGATGCTGCAATGGTCGTAAGCATGAGGACAGGCTATGTCACTTTTTTTAGTATAATTATGTTTGAATAGTCACTAAATGAATGATTCTAAGTCGAGTATCTTGCAATCAATAACTGTCATGATATTTATATATAGTGAAAGATTCTGACTGCGGGAAAATGTATTTTTTGCACTAGTATCCTATAGGATTAAGATTTTGTTTAAGGACTCAGTCTTCTCCACTTTTTTCAAGGCAGTCTCACATTTTCTTGAATGTCTGACTTTTACTAGTTGTAATTCTTTCCTAGCCTTGAAAGTAATTGTAATATTTCTTTTTGGTTTAGCTGCTGCTTTGAGTGAATCTTTGGGCAAATTTCATTTTCCTAATTGCTGAGTAGCATTGTTTTGACTGGGTTTATTTATTTGCTGCAATTGGAAATTAGGCACATCTGGAGCAGCTGTGAAATTTGGTTTTCAATATATTCTGTGATTCCCAAGTTGATCTGCAGTTGACATGCAGTCTGATTAATCACAGTGCATCTATATTACCAATGTTGTCTTCTGCCAAAATAAGGGCTTTGAAAAAACAGTGGCAATATGCATATGATATTTGAACATGAATCAAGCTAGCATGCTCAGATTCCTGTTCAAAAGTTTGAAACATGCTGTTTTTAGAACATTCACTTCTATAGATTGGATAGCCAGCTGTGGCTCTTTCCCCAAATCTGAAAGGAATTTGGAGTAGGCTGATTGATTGAAGGAAGAAGTTGATCGATTCTCAGTACTGTGATTGTTATGAATGCTAGATTTTGTTTCATATGCTGGCCACATAGTCTTTCTAATTACTTCGCCAACAGTCAGTTGTGTTTAAAATGCCTTTTTACTATTCTGAGTTCAGAATATAGGGGTATAGAATCTGGAATTCCATTAGTCACTTAGCATTAACCTGTATCTTTACAGTAGTTTCCTAAGAACTAAAATAATGTTATGTTTAATTGTAAATAAAATAAAAAGGAATCAATTCCTTACTATAAATGGGAAAATTTATGCAGACTAGATGGTCTGAGTAATATAAAGGCTAAGAGGCATCTGGAGACAGTGCTGTCTTGTGAAACACCCACCAATATTCATTTCTAGCATGGATGAATCCAGGTTTGTGGATTTTCTAGATAAATGCTCCTCTAATGATCTCTTTGTCTGCCAACAGATGCAATAGCAGCTCATGAAGTTGTAGACGACATTTGATTTTAGCTATTGTCACGACACATTAGAAATGTGTAGGGCCTTGGTTGCAAGGTTGAGTGTAGCTTCTTGGCTGTTTAACCACTCTTCAGGGGTGAAATTCACCAGGTTCTGACAGGTTCTGGAGAACCGGTAGCGGAAATTTTGAGTAGTTCGGAGAACTGGCAAATACCACCTATGGCTGGCTCCAGAATGGGGAGGAAATGGGGATTTCGCAGTATTGTTCCCCTGCCATGTCCACCAAGCCACGCCCACGGAACCAGTAGTAAAAATTTTGAATATCACCACTGGTTCCCTTCCTCTGCTCACATTCAACCATTTCTTTTCTCTTGCTTAGGACTTTGGAACGATATAAACTGTGGCTACCCATGTTCTTTCATATGTGAAAGACATAACAACTCAGTCAATGCAACTGTTGCTCCCACACCACCTTCCATTAAAGGAGGATGCCCTGAAACTTGGCTTTTGTTTGAAAACAAGGTGTAGTAATAATAATTATTATTTTTAAAAGAATCACTCCAAGAAACAAAAAGATAATGAGAGAGACTTTCTGTGGAGTATATTTTTAGACAATTAAAATAAATGCCTTGATAAGATGGTATCAAAGAGGAATTTTGTGCATATGTACATAAAATAAAGATAAACTCTCATCAGGCTTACAATGAGAACACATGACCAGAGGAACTAATTCTATTTTATATTGAAACTACATTAGCAGAATCTTGCAAATCTGAAAGTACAATTCTTTTATTATCACCTTTTCTGAATAAGAACCTTCCATGCCTCTTGCTCTGCCCACTATTCAGCTATAGCCATGTTGTCGGACAGTTGCCTAGGTAGCATCTCTACACACACACACACACACACACACACACACACACACAGA